GCTCTATCGTTTTTAACGTCCAGTATTCTGATCGCCACTTTTGCCTCTTGGCGAATAACATTAGTGCTTCTGTCCATAGTACCACCAATCATAATCACAGTAATCCTGACGACAAAAGTATAAAATCAGTTGAAAAAGCATATCTTACATGTTGTTTCTTCATATTATACAGTACGTGAGCCGTTTGACACATCTAGAACTGGCGGTGTATAGCAAGGCCAATGCAATTGTGCAAGAAGTTATATGTTGCATTCGGACTGTGTTCGCATACAATGGGCAAGAGAAGGAAACGAAACGGTATATTTTTATGTGTGCACATCAATGAAATATATGTTTCATGTGTCGCTGTGTCCGATTATTGTTCAAGAATAACTCAGACACCTTTTTCAGCTACTTAAACTTTCTCATTTTTCTCATATTCTTCTCATGATAATCTCAACAATTTGTAGAAAGCAAGTTTCTCCTCTAATTCTTATCAAATTATGAATTGTGAGAGTACCAAGGAACTGAAAAAACTTCCAGATTAAAGTTCCTGTTAGATTCCCATCAAGATCCGTATAAAAGCGTGATAAGATCTTAAATTATCTTTCTTGAAGACTCTTGAATATGATAGTGACAAAAGAAAGGATCAGGATTAGAAACGACATTCCTGTCAAAAATGGACAGAATTATCTCAGAATTTCTTCGCGCATTGGCAGGATTGAAATTATGCACTGTTAATATCCAGACAGAACTCACCTCATCAAATTCTATAACTAAAGATGTTATTTAGCACTTTTTGAATGGCACATGAGTCATGCGAAAATCAGAGCCTTAGGCAATAGTGGAGAAAAACATCTTTTGATATTTTATTTTCACGGTAGCTACGAAAAATTGGCAACTAACACATCTGCCCGTCATATTAGGATAAAAAATTCAGCAGTAGCTGAAAATTCAATAGAAATAGTTGAAATATCGAATGAAATGTTATATGTTACGTGAAGCTTACGTGGAGACACCTTTTGATGAATCAATGCAGAACTTTCATCATGCTTTCAGATAGATCATTCATTCTGAGCAAAATTGAGTCAGATGTAGAGAAAACATGTTTTCAAACTTCTCTATGCTTTTGATCGAATAGCTTACTCGAGTTTTTCCTGAAGATTCTTTTATTTTTCTTTTCCTTTCTATCAACGATGCAATTTCAATGTAATTTGTAATATTAACTCTTGCTCTCTAGTTATGCACAACATCTGCCAGCTGCGCGTCGTTTCGCCGTGAGAAAAGCCTGGATGAGTGGCCTATTAAATGCAATAAGCAATCTTCTCATGTACGGCATATCTAGCGCGGCTAATTTCTACAGTGCTGTACTTCTTCTCAATGGACATACGAAGGTGGTCAATGTCTCTACGGTGCGTATAAGAATATCTGATTGATACGTCATAAAATATTTGCTATATATCATCAACGACATACATTGTACAATTTGTCCCGAACATATCAGAACGCATATCTCAGCAGTGAAGCATAAGATCGACTGAAATTTTATTTATTTGGAAGAGTAAAATCCAAAACATACAGGGTGTCCCAAAAGTAAGGAAACAAAGTTTTTTTTTCGATTTTTTTTTCTTATAGAGCGTCAGCTAGTTCTCATATTTATACCACAGATACTAGATGACATAAGTGAAAGATCTAGCACATGAACAATATCTGAATATAGTAATTTGTTCAAAAGCATACAAATATAGGATAATCAATAATAAGGTAACATGCGTGAGTTCTAGCAAAACTTTTATGAAAGCAACAGAACAGAAAAGTTACACATAGCAAAGTATGTCTTTGTTAAGTCTGTGCAGCAAGAAGATTTTCACAAAAATTGCTCAATATGTTCACCTTCTAGGTCTTTGCAAAGTTACAGTCTCTCAGGTACTGATTGACAAGCTTTTTGGCATAATTCCATTGATAATCTTCCCATCTCTGTAATAATAGCATCTTTGAGTGCTTGAAGATTTTGGGGTTTTGTTGCATACACACGGTCTTTTATCACACCCCATAAAAAGAAGTCGGTCGGTGTGAAATCCGGTGATCATGCTGGCCAGTCTATCATCCCACGTCGACCAATCCATCGATCAGGGAAGGTTTTGTCCAAGAAGCGTCGAACGGATTGTTGATAATGAACTGGAGCTCCATCGTGCATATAAAATATTTCTTCTAAATTCATCTGATATTCAATCGCAAGAACAATTTTTTCATCAAGCATTTCCAGATAGCTGCGTCCAGTAACTGTATCACGAGAGAAGAACGGTCCAATAAGGCCTCCAGACCAAATTCCGGCCCATACAATAATGCCTGGGGCATTAATCTTCTAGGTAATGACGATATGAGGGTTTTCTGTAGCATAGTAAACGCAGTTATGTCGATTGACGTGTCCATTCAACTTGAAAGTAGCTTCATCGGTCCACATAATTCGATCAGAGAACGAAGAGTCTTTAGCGACCAATTTCAGAAAGATATCAGCAAATTCGCAACGTCTGTCGGGATCATCTTCGTTTAGAGCATGCAGTAATTGAGGACGATAAGGTTTCAATCCCAGCTCCTTCATTCGTTGAAGACTGCTTTTAGACAGATTTAAATCCAATGAAGCTCTTCTTAATGATGTTGCAGGACTTTCTTCAAAAGCTGCACGAACACGTTCTTTATTTTCATCGGTACTGACAGATCCAGATCTGGCAGACCTACATCTGGGTTCATCTTCAACACTTCCGGTTTCATCAAATTTTTGTACGAGATTCATGCACCGGGGGTCATCTTTGAGAGGTCTATATGAGTTCCATAAGTTTTGGCGTTCGATTTTCAGCCTTATTCTCTGTTAGATGCAGATGATTTTTTGATCCAGAACATGATGGTTGTATTCCTCTCTATTTATCCGAGAGTCTCTTCACGGAAGCAAAAGCGAAAAGAATAAAATTTAATTGGACATCTTACAATATAGGTGATATATTAGCATTACTATTTAACAAAAGACTAATGCTTAGACATTAGCATTAATCAATAACTCTAATGCTTTAGAGTTATTGGCATAAGGGCTACTTAATGCCAAGTTGTTAGCATCATTTGTAAGTCTAATAGACTGTTTCCCAAGCCATAGCAATAGTATTCTGCTTCATGGGGTATGATTCATCGATGACTCATAGTTTCGACAAGTACAACACTTTTGTTCTGTTTTTGGGAAAATGACTCATTCATGACCCATGGATGCGTCATACTGCCGAAAACAAAACAATTTTGTGCTGGTTTGGAAAACTATCTATTAGACTTACAAATGATGCTAACAACTTGGCATTAAGTAGCCCTTATGCCAATAACTCTAAAGCATTAGAGTTATTGATTAATGCTAATGTCTAAGCATTAGTCGTTTGTTAAATAGTAATGCTAATATATCACCTATATTGTAAGATGTCCAATTAAATTTTATTCTTTTCGCTTTTGCTTCCGTGAAGAGACTCTCGGATAAATNTACTTTTGCTAATGACTGAGGAGTGTTTGTAACTTATATTTAGAAGAAAATAGTTGACAATATCTATTATCAAGTATCCCAGTTGACTTCAACACAGTTTTTCTTATGAATACTCTTTAATCAACATTAAAAGATAGTCCACGCAATCGAAACATGACAGAGATCTGCAATCTGTTCTTCATTTAATGTGAGTTTACGACTGCTTAGTACATAGCTCTGGCAAGCCCTGTCAGACATATACCTTCGGAAAGATTCCAAACGCTTGTAAACTAGTGAAAACATATGCTGAGTAGGAGTCAAGAAGATTACAATTTCGATTCTTGTAAGCACCTACTCATCAAATGGAAGACATTCACAAATTTCTTAGGACGTGGATGTAGTTGTTGTTAAAAGCAAAATTTCCTTCCAGCAGGTGTTATTGGATAAGCTCTAATTTTCATTAAATGAAGTTAAGCATTTTCACATGAGTCACGCTTTTCTTTAGAGAGACTTTGATGAAAAAATTGATTTTTCATAGAAAGCAGGAATTCGAGTATTCGTTGGTACAGGATATCTTCATCTGCTAGAATAAAATATGAGAAAGTGAGTGTAGATCCATGCGAAATGGAGCTCATGTGTGTTGGTGTATGGTGGGCGGCATTTGTAAAAAAAATACATCGATTATGAATATTTCAACAGGTCTTTCATGCAACTCCGTAGAATGAGAAGATAATAATGACATTAGGATGTACATAAGAATATTTTCAAAATACAGGGTGTCCCAAAAGTAAGGAAACAAAGTTTTTTTTCGTTTTTTTTGTCTTATAGAGCGTCAGCTAGCTCTCATATTTATACCACATATACTAGATGACATCAGTGAAAGATCTAGCACATGAACAATATCTGAATGCAGTAGTTTGTTCAAAAGCATACAAATATAGGAGAATCAATAATAAGGTAACATGTGTGAGTGCTAGCAAAACTTTTATGAAAGCAACAGAACAGAAAAATTACACATACCAAAATATGTCTTTGTTAAGTCTGTGCAGTAAGATTTTCACAAAAATTCCTCAATGTTTTCACCTTCCGAGTCTTCGCAAAGTTGTAGTCTCTCAGGTACTGATTGACAAGCTTTTTGGCATAATTCCATTGATAACTTCCGCATCTCTGTAATAATAGCATCTTTGAGTGCTTGAAGATTTCTGGGTTTTGTTGCATACACACGGTCTTTTATCACACCCCATAAAAAGAAGTCGGTCGGTGTCAAATCTGGTGATCGTGCTGGCCAGTCTATCGGCCCACGTTGACCAATCCATCGATCAGGGTATGTATTGTTCAAGAAGGGTCGAACGCATTGGTCATAATGAGCTGAAGCTCCATTGTGCATATAAAATATTTTTTCTAAATTCATCTGATATTCAATAGCAGGAACAATTTCTTCATCAAGCATTTCCAGATAGCTGCGTCCAGTAACTGTATCACGAAAGAAGAACGATCCAATAAGGCCTTCAGACCAAATTCCGGCTCATACAATAATGCCTGTGGCATTACTCTCCTGGGTAACGACGACATGAGGGTTTTCTGTAGCATAGTAAACGCAGTTATGTCGATTGACGTGTCGATTCAACTTGAAAGTAGCTTCATCGGTCCATACAATTCGATCAGGGAACGAAGAATCTTCAGCGACCAATTTCAGAAAGGTATCAGCAAATTCGCAGCGTCTGTTGGGATAATTATCGCTTAGAGCATGCAGTAATTGAGGACTATAAGGCTTCAATCTCAACTCCTTCATCATTCGTTGAAGACTGCTTTTAGACAGATTTAACTCCGATAAAGCTCTTCTTAATGATGTTCCAGGACTTTCTTCAAAAGCTGCACGAACACGTTCTTTGTTTTCATCGGTACTGACAGATCTAGGTCTGCCAGATCTGGGTTTATCTTCAACACTTTCAGTTTCCTCAAATTTTTGTATGAGATTCAAAATATTCTTTCGTGTTGGAGGAGTTCGATCGTAACATTGTTGAAACTGATGAGCAACTTCACCTGCATTCTGGTACATAGCATACCATTTTACAATTTCAATCCTTTCAGATGTCGACAAACGAAAACTTTCACTCATGATTAAAAAATATGAAAAACGCAGTTGGAAGTGCGGAAAAAGAAACAGATAGTAAACAGAACAAAATATGAATCACCTGATAAAAGAGATAACCATTCGTATAGTTTACTGCAGACATCACCACTAGTGCATATATAAATACTACCAAAGACAAGGTAGTATACGGTACGACAGTGGAAAGTATAACTGTCAAGTACGTTCCCATTTCTTCAGTAAAACTATATTTGTATGCTTTTGAACAAATTACTACATTCAGATATTGTTCATGTGCTAGATCTTTCACCTATGTCATCTAGTATCTGTGGTATAAATATGAGAGCTAGCTGACGCTCTATAAGAAAAAAATCGAAAAAAAAATTTTGTTTCCTTACTTTTGGGACACCCTATATGCTATTGGTTTATGTATTGATCCATATCTTATTTTGACATAAAGATCTATCCTTTTTGTAATAATAATATCGTATTTTGGAGATAAAAATTAAAAAATAGAGAAGGAAGGGTTAAAGAATAAATTGCAAAAAGAGATATTTAGAAAGAATGATTGTCTCGGATCGAAAGAAGAGATAAACTTGCTACAATCAAAGAGCAAGTTATAATATTATAAGACGAAATCAGCGAAGATTACCATTTGTTCAGAAATCGCTAAATATATGGACAAAGGTGATGTTTTACAAATATGATTGCGAATCTTTATTATGATATTGCATATAAACATTACAAATATTATAGTGAAGCTGTAGTTAAAGATGACTCCCTTTCAGTAAAGAGATACATAGAAAAATTCATTAATTATTTTGATCGTGAACATGAAATAATTGATAAAATAAATATCGTAGAATTATCAAGATACTTTGTAGATTCAGTTTGCGATCTTTATTCGATTTTGAGTGATGAAGAAGAGAAACTTCGTTCTATTCCAGAGACGCAGTTAATCATGTTCAGACTAAAAAAGAAGGCGAATATGTAATCTATTTTATGGACGATGGTCGCTTGGTTGAAGTTGAAGTTTATGAGGAGAGCGAATTAATTGATAAAAATGAAGAAAATAGGAATGAAATAGAAAATATCACGAGAGAAACACAACTGTAATGCAGTCATACCAGAGTTATAACCGGTTCGGCGAAACCAGCCCGGTCCGGCCAGATCGAACCGGTGCCGGAACGGACCGCTGAAGCGGTTCCACCGACCGGTTTTTCATCAGTTTTATCGGTTGAAATATATTTTATGAATATACAGATTTTTCAGATAAAAGTTGCTGATAACAAGTTTTTATGTCCTAATCAAAATAACTAACTTGTTTTATTTCAAAAACCATCAATTTTTTTTCTGCTCCTCAATCTATTTCATTTCTTTGATCGATATGTGCTTCATTTTTTTAAAGAATGCTTTCGAAACTGTATTAGTCCAGTTAAACTCATCTCATATAGTTTTTGTGAAGATAAAACTTAGACTCGAGCTGTTATCCAGAGAAAAGCATTGCGTTATTGGTAAGGGTTAAGTGAGTAAAACATTATTCTCTAAATGTGTGAAATATCTGTTTTTAAAATTAACCACTACCTATACTTTCAAATTATAAATACTTAAAAAACAAGGCACAAAACGCGCAAAATTAGGCCTATTCGAATGAGTACTATTTTGACTTTTTTGTTATATTGTTGATTTTCCTTTGAAATTGATAAAAACTTTTTTAAAATTAGCTATTTTCTTCTAGGTAAGAATCTATAAGCGTTTAGAATGAAAGTTCGCCCCTAATACCACTTTTATTTTATGAACAAACTTCATAAACTCGCTGGTTTTTTACCGGTCTGGGATTACTTTTTAGACCGGCAGGTCATCGACCGGACCGAACCGGTCTAAAAATTTTAGACCTGTTACAACTCTGGGCCATACATCTATCAACGTCAAGTACTATGCATTAAAAAGAAACAATAAGAAACTTGAAGACAATCGACAACAAAAGGTATTGTGCGTTTGTAATGTAAAAGAAAAAGGTCAAGGAAAGGAAAATTCTAGGAATTCTTCTAGTAGGTTTGATTCTGCAATAAACATTTTAATAACTCTTGTAATAATAATTGTTCGGATTGAAAATGAAACTCTAGATAATTTACGATTATCTATATTTAAACCTTTATTCCAAAAATAATTGACTCTAATTCAGAAATCAGTTCTACTGGTCAAGCATTAAAGAAAAAGAAACTCATTGGATGATTGGCTTTGGATTCCAGACAGAGAAACAACATTGTTCCAATTAAAACTTTATAAAAGCTCAATTTTGAGTGAATTTTTCAAGAGCTTTTATCATTATAAAATTACGAATTGTTTTTCTGGTAGATTATTCGATCTAGTAGCAGAAAAAAGAATGTTTTTTTAAATATTAATCATAATGTCAATTACAGAAATATTCTTTGTGGAAATGAACAATTTGATATAAAATGTAAAAGAATTAAAATTATTCATTCTTGAGATTTATCTCAACCAACCATTCGATAGGTATTTTGACGCGTCGACTTTTATTTCCGTTGGGCATCGAGATTTCAAATCGACCCCTGGGAGTGCCATTTTGCGATGGGTAGAGGGCTCGACGATAGGTTGTTTCTACTAGCAGTTTTCAACCACTCGAATAGTCGTTTCCGATGGATCGGAATTTCATCAAAAAAAAAGAATTTTTACTCGATAGATGTCTCAATTTTGAATTGTTCAAACCCATCGAATTATATAGATTTCGAGTCGTAGAGACTAATCGGACATATGCGGAGAAATAGATTTAAACATAGGTACTTACGATTCACTTTCATCGAACAGTTGATCTAAATATGAACTATTATTCTGAAATCAAAACTACCTTTTTAATTCATAAGAAGATAGTACTTATTGTTCATGCTTTTTTATTTTATTTTTTGAAAACTGAAAATTATACTTTTAATCGAGAAAAATATTTTTACCATGACAAAAGTTTCATCAAGAAGGAAAACTTTTTATATCTCTGTAAGTGACACAAGAACTTTTTTTTATTTAAGACTCCTTATAAATCACTTATGGAATAAATATGATGCACAATATGTGATAATCGACCAATTCGCACGTGGAAGCATGAAGTCAATATTTAGTAATTTTTTTTAAATTCACAACGTGGACATTCATTATTGCTGTCTTAGTCAAAAAAACAGGCGAATTTTAGTTTTAGTTTCAATCGGTGGACGATAAACCTTGATCAGAAAATTCTGAAATTAAGGTGAATTATGAAGCAAACTCGAATAATTCTACTAAACTTATTGGATAAAAATAAAGAATATTTTAAAATCGGATTTTGAAGTTTCACATGATCAAGATTATAGACTCCTCTGTCAAAACTATTATTATGATCGGTTTTACTCTTTTGAAGCCCTCAAAATGATCCTTTCAATATGTTTGTTTTAGTCGAGTGGTTAAAATGTGTTAGAGGAGTCGGCAGTATTATTTCGATGGGTGACTTCTCTCGGAGTACTCAAAACTTCGATGAGTGCTGACGTGTCGAAATATATACGACGAGTCGAAAATGAGTCGTCCATTGGATACAGTGTCCGAGTCCTCGAAATTCGATGGGTGTCGAGGAGATCGAAATTGAAACAGAACGAACAAAATATATATATATATATCTATCAAATTTTCGACCGCTCGTCGCATCCATCGTATGCTTTTTTTTGTTTGCTTGGGATTAAGAAAGATCTATCACTGTTTATAGGACATTATTCTCTTGAACAACGTTATTATCGGGCTGTCTATTATTTTGTTAGAAGAAAAAAATAAATCTCTAAGAATAATATCTTCTTCCTGTAAAATAAATTATAATTTATTGAATATTTCAGAAAAAAGTAACATAAAAATCAGTTTAAAAACAACAAAATAAGTTTCTTTTCAGTTTATTTCCCATTTGTCAGACTTTGGTGTTAAAAAATTAAATGATAAAATCAATGCAAAAGAAATTTTTGCTTAGACCTATCTCCATATATTGGCCAAGTAAATGAGTTAATACATGGTTTTAACTGTGTTTATAATATTGACGGGCAATTTTGTAATAATCAAAATAACAAGAAAACATTTCGGAAAAATTAGTATAAAGAAAATCTGTATGAGAGAAAATATCTTTTTTTTTATTTCATATTAAATTTTAATGAAAATAATCCTTTTAAGTTAAAGGAAAATATAAATAGCTGGACAAAATTGAAAACAGTTGCCATTACAATGCTTATCTTTTACAAGATCACAGAATCACAACTTACAGCATTCTGTCGTTAAAAATTTTAATTTAGAAAGTGTCGTAATAAGTGTACAGACTCGGTTTAGATGGTATTTTTATGGAGAAATAGCCTATAACAGACTAACAGAAAGTTTTTATTGATCAAAAAAAGATCTAAACATTTTTCAAATTTATTTGAAAGATACTTTATCAGTTGATCTGAAAAAAGAGAAAAAAATAAAACAAACTTAAGTATTCAATCATTTATTGAAAATAGTTCAAGTACATAATGAAAACTCATCAAGAATTTTTTCAGTTACTCAAGATTTTTTTAATAAAATTAATATCAAAAGTCGATGATAAAAAACAGAAATTAGAATTCATGATTTTAGAAAAATAAACGATAGAAATTATTTAGAAGATCAAATTAAATCTAATCTTAGTAAAAAAAATTTTCTTATGTAGTAAAACTATCAAATAAACATTATGTTAGTTTGTTTGTTGAAACTAAAAATTTCTTATAGAAATAGTTATTATTTAAGATATCCTATATATGAGTCATCGCCTTATGATTCAAAAGTGCATGCCAATATTTTTGAAGAAAAATTAGTCTGAATGCTTCAGAAACAGTATTATTTTGTCATTGAACGATCCTTCGTGAAATTTAGCATCAAGTTAATGATAAATGTTATGAAACTGAACATGTCTCAAAAATCGCTCTTACATGACACTGTGTTTTTGTATTACATATTTGTCGATAACATGCAAAATTCGAAGTGAAGTC